CGTCGAGGGTCAGCAAGATCGTCGGACGACCTTCGGACTGGTACTTCTCGTAGAAGTTCTCGATCAGGCAGTCCCCGCCAGTCACCCCCCCGCCGGTCGAAAACCAGCCCACGATGCCGTCTTGGGAATCAACCTGGGCAAACAGCTCCGCCAGCGTGCGGTGGTGCACCACGTCCATGTGAACCTGCAGGACCACGCAGGTGCCCACGCAGAGTGCGTTGATCGACGCGGCGTGCCCGTGCGGGGATTGCTGGGCGAGGAAACGCAAACCAGGGCTGCTGCACAAGCAGGTGGCCTCAGAGTGCCTCCTGTGCAGGCAAGCAGCTCCAGCGGCAATGAGCGTGGCGTCAACACATCTGGCAACGCGCTCAACACGTGCTACAGCAGAAGATCCCGCAGCGGCGGCGAAGCCGTTGGTGGCTGCTGTGCACAGCCTGAGGTCGCGTTTTCGCGGGCGGCCACGCTGCCCAGCACGGCGTGCAACCAGAACACACCTCGAAGTTCTTCTCCTCATGAGGGACCGCGTAACAGCTCTTGACGCGCACCGTCCCCCCTTGGATGGTGCCAAGCAAGGTGCCGATGACTCGCTCTTGGCCAGCGTTGCGCCGCAAGAACGCATCGCAGATGGTCAGCAGCACGCCAGGTTCGACCTCGACATGCAAGTCCGGCATTGCGCCGGGCACGCTCAGCGTTCCCATGCAGACGACGCGCCGTTCAACCTCTGGAACCCAGGAGGTACAGAGATACCAGTCTCGCGACGAAATGGGTAGCGCCGAACCAGATCTAGCTTCCACTCCGCTGCGTCGCAGGAAATGACTGTGCTACCCCCGCGCACGAGGATGAATGGCGCGACTCGGTGAAAATCCGATGTGACATCATGTCTGACATGCGTTTCCTAAGCACTCGAGCTCGCGTAGTCGCAAGGCTCGCGCGATGCGCCTCCAGCTCCATGGCGGGCTCCACCACCGAGAGCTCTGCCTAGCCAGACACGTCGTGAGGATCGTACGCTCGACGGAGTGCACAGCTGAGTTGTTGTGGCAAGCAAACCGAAAGATGATCCCACACGAGGTCGGCGAGGCCCAAGTGTTTCCCCGCAGCGCAAGTGAGAGCCGACGTAACGGACTGCGGGGGGCTGCCGGGCACAGTACCCTTCATGCAGCCATCAGTGCGGATTACATGATGATGACGCTCGTGCCGCTTGCCGTGCTCTGGCTGTGCGCAGGACGGCAGCGTCTCCGTCAAGGCAACCACCTACTGATGGTAAACGCACAGGCACAAGGCGCCGAATCGCGGACAATGCCCCACAATTCTCGTCAAGCCCATCATGCACAGAGACGGTTGCCGCGAGCGTTCCATGGCACTTTCCGCGTCCGCACAGTCGCGCAGAGCGCTCAAGAGCCATGACCGCGCTCTAGGACTCCGATCAGCTCGTTCGCAAACCTCGTCACGTCTCTTCGCGAGATCAAGATCCAAGCACCAACAAACGAGTCGTGGCTGTAGATGGCATTGACTGCTTTGCAGGCCTGCTCAAAGCAGTATGAGAACACGTTTCCTGCAACCAACCGGGAGGGCGGAACGGCGCCTGAGAGTCGCGTGGACGCGCGCACGAGTGCCTCACCATTCAAGATCACTCAACTCTCTCACCTGATGTACTGATCGCGGCGTCACTTCCTTCGGGGGCGTCCCCGAGGCTGTCTTGCATCGTGTGCTTGAGGCCAACGACACAGCACATGTCTTGCGCGTTTGGCGGCCCTGCAACGACCATTGGTGGTGGTCGACGGCCTGTGCGCTGCAGCTGATACTCCTGCAGGAACAGGCCGACTTTCGTCAGCGCCAATGGATGGTGCATCGGAGAGTCCTCGCCCTGTCCTTCGCCTTGCTCGGACAGATCGAGCAACCAGAACCGTGGAGCCCGCACGAGCTGCGAGGAAGCGTCTGTGCAGCTCGTGGTGCCGATGATGGCCTGCCCGGCAGTGTCGTGCACGGATCTGCATGACTCGTCGAGAAGAGATCCGCACTTTGTGCTCGACTGGGCGTCGCGATGAAGACCAACGAATGTCTCAAAAAGGTAACCCACCCAAGGCGCGAGCGCACTTGCAGAGACGTTCTCGGGGCATACATATTCATACCTGAGTAACGCCTTCGACAGCCGTATGCCTCTTTCCAAGTCGTCGCAGCTCTTCAGAGACAACGCCCTCCATGCATCCCAAAACCCATCGATGTTCGTGCCCAGCTGCGTGTCGCTGCGTTCGAGCAGTGCGGTTGCTGCGTAGACGCAGTCCGACGCCGAAACGTCCTTTTGCAAGCCTTGCTCCAGTCGAAAGCTCCAAAAGCGCGCAGTGTACATGCGAAAGTGCTGACACCATTGTTCGAACTTCTCGGGCAGCTTCATGCGCAGCCCGGATCGCATGCTTGAAAAGCTCCGACGGGACTCGTCCAGCGGTATGCCCATCTTCGCGAGCAGAAGTTCGAGACTGCGCCGCCCTGCGATTTGCTCTCATGACGTCCGAAAATCAGTGCACAAAACGGCAGCTTGGAGGGATCGAGGTCGAGATGCTCTAGTCGGCCTCCGGCGTTGCAACTCACCAGAGTCGGTCCAAGTCCCTAGGCGGGCTGCCACGTACGAGGAGTACTTCATGGCTTCGAAGAGGGACCAGTGCCGCAGCAAGCTGAAGCGCAGGTCATACTCCGCTGAGATGCGCCCGAACGTCCACGTCTTTACGCCCGGCGCACCTGAGAGGTCTGTCCCGCCTTTGTTGTGGCCGACACGCTCGTTGAGTTGCCACGCGAATTCCTGATATTTTGAGTCCGCAATATGCCCATGCAGCTGCGAGGGTAACGGAAGGGCGACGGGGCCATGGGCCTCTGCATGCCTCCGATATGCATCGACAAATGCAATCGAAGTTTATTTGCGGCGTACCAGTTGATCGGTCAATCCCACGATGGCCATCCACAGCACAGCTGTGTCGTCCTTGTGCAGCATTTCGGCGAGCTGAAACGCTACTAGCGAGGTTGGTTTGCCGTAGTACATCCCACGCAGATAGTATTCAATCCTCCGCATGGCGCGCTCCTCCGTGCCGCGCTTTCGACCCATTTGCCGCTGTCTCTTTCGAGGATGCTCCGCATCGCTCCCTGACCCCCCATCATCACCATCCTGCGCCGTGTGACCGCCCTTGTCGTGCCCCAACATCACCATGCGTTCGCCTTGCCGGTCATCTTCATGCCCGATCGCAACAGGGCCCGACGCGTGCTCATCGCCTCCGCCCTGACTGTCAGCAGCATCCTTGTTACCGAGGTCATCCATGTCGCCGTCATCGTCGCTGCTGCATTGCGGATCGTCACCCTCCTCTTCAGAAAACGCAGCATCTATGGGCAAGTCGTCTGCATCCTCGCCTTCAGCCTGCGAGAAGAAGATTGCAAATCGTTGCCTTCAAGGGATGCGTCGTCGCATTGCACACGCACACGCGATCATGAAGGACACGCCCCATCCGCTCGTGCCCATGGCGAAATGCGGTTCACCTCTTCGTCCCAGAAAACGAAAACCGACTGATTTTGATCGGACAAATTCTTCAAGTGAAGAGGTCGGTGCGCGTCCAGCACGAACACGCGGGTCTTCGCCTTCATGGGGAGGAGATCGAAAATATCCTCGGTCCCTCCGCAATTCACGAGCAGGATCGACCGCGGATCTTCGTCCCCGTCGTTCTCCAGTTCCTTGGCCACGCGCCCCACCAAGTCCTTGTATCCGCAGACAGGAATGATGCTGTAGTGGTCCTCGCTCAGAGCAAGCGTTCTCTGCGCGTCCAGTGGCACACAAAGCTACGCAGTCAGCGGCGTCGACGAGGCCCGCATGCACATGTCAACCGTAGAGGGTGCGCATAGTGCCATCTGCACCCTGGCCGACGTGCACTCGCCTGCAAGATGCGCACGGCGCACACCGAGTCCACCTCAGCGGAAGACGCGAAGACGAGTAGCTTGCGGTCCGCGTTGTCGTAGCGGTCCTCTATCATCGCGTCCCACGCATTGGCCCACTGATTGGGAGGGACCTTCATGCCGCCCACGTCGCAGAGATGATGTGAGGCGAGAATCTGGGCGGTACTTGACCGCACGCGAGGGTTCGTGTGAATGTCTTGCACTTCTGACGCTGCCGGTGCCCTGAGGCGCCGCGGAGGCGGCTCCCGCCTCTGCGCGCCCTTGAATAAGTTACGCAGGCAGCGATGCGAGGGCTCCTGCCGGGGATCAGTCCTGCCCCAAACGTGTGGAAAGAGCTAACCGCGCGGCTCTGCGATCGCACATGCCCGATCGAGGCGCCAGCGGTGATTGACTGTGACAGCAGAGCGAGGCTCAGAGCCGGATCTTGGCGAGGCCCGGGGCCTCACACATGACGCTTGCTGCGGACTTCTCGTCTCCCCGTGCGCAGAGGCCGTAATGGGGAGATGCTCCTGGCCACAGTGCCACTGAGTGGGCCAGGCTCACTGAGGCCGCCCGGCGGGGGGCCGGCCCAGACAGACGCTGAGTGTCCGACAGCCAGCTGACGAGTGGCTCGCGGCCGGGAACATGGCAGCGGGCTGTCCACGGTGCTTGTCAGCCGGGTTTCCATCAGGCGGGTCTGCAGAAGCGAAGACTCAGACCGTGTCGACAGAAAGCGCTCGGCTTTCTCCCACTGCTTCCAGCCGCGGCAGCCTCGCGACTGACCCAACCTGGGCTGTTCGCGTGCCTTGGCGCAGTTCTAACGAGCATGAACTGCGCTTCAAGTTCGCGAATCACCCCGCCAGCTACCCGGAAACAGCGGCAGGTGGCCCTTCCGAGTGCCGCCTACAGGCGCATCATCTCGCGTTGTTCTAGTGCCAAGGGCGTGCAATCCATGACATCCGGCGCCACGGACACAAGCGATGCTATCAGTTTGGAGAATATTCGACAGAGCCTGATCCGACAGGTGTGCTGAGGCCCCGGTCTGCCTCAGAGTTCCATCGCGATGCCACGCGCGAGGCGACCGCAGAGGCATGTTTCTGCAGGAGGAGTCAATCATTTTCACGCTGATTGAGAGGGCGCAGTTCAAGCGGAACCAGCCGGTGTACGTCCCTGGCGAAATTCCAGTCCCCAGTGCGCCAGGCAAGTACTTGAGAGTCTTGCTGCTGCGTCGCCAATGACGCTGAGAATGCAGCACGATGACACATGTATCGATTTCGACCTGATCGATCATTACAACACGCAGATGGGTGCCGACCGTCGCTTCTCGAGTGGCTGCTAAGGGAGACGGAGAATGTCCACGGGCGCATTCGGCGGTACACGTCACCAGACGAGCATCCGTTCTATCCCGACGAAGTTCCGGAGCTGGTCCTGCCTCCCCTCCGCTATCCCGAGGTGACTCCCGGCTTGCCAGGCGGTTGGGGGGCGACAGGTGGCACGAGGCCAACAAGTCACGATGTGTTGCCTGCACGGACGTGATCCTCCTGCACACCGACCGTCGCTGCAGGTGTTGCGGGATACTGCGAATGTCAACATCAACGGCAAGCTGCTGGACACGTACATCAACAGGGTGGTGCCGCAAATTACGCCGGAGGGAGATGACAGCAACTACGGATCAGCGGCCATGTACGACGTGCACTGCTTGCAGGTGAGACGGGCGGGCCTGCGATATGAAAAAAGCCATCAAAGTGTATCGCGATGTGCTGGATGAGATGTCGATCCCTCCCTCGGTGCTGGGGTGTGCTGACGGATGAGTTTGAAAACTCCCCGTTTTCCGGATGATGGTTTTGCAGGCCCTGTCTAAGCGGGTCCATTACGGCAAATTTGTTGCCGAAGCCAAGTTCCAGGCGCGGCCAGATGATTACAGCAAGCTCATCCAGGCGCGAAACCAGGATGCGATAATGGCTCTCCTGACGGATGAGGTGCAAGAGAGGAGGGTGGTTGACCGTGTTTGCAGGAAGGCGGCGCAGTATGGACAGGACAACACCGAGGGGCAGGCTGTGTACAAGGTTCAGCCTGCGGTCGTCGGTCAGCTGTACGCCGATTGGGTCATGCCTCTGACGAAGGAAGTGCAACTTCAGTACCTCATGGCCCGCCTTGACTGACATGGTCGTCGCTGCATGTGACCCTGCGCCGTCTTCGAACGAAAGGTGTGCTAGTGGCGGACGTGGAGATGCGTTTTGAATCACTCGTTCGGTCAGTTCAAGCCCGAGCCGACAAAGCAGCGCACGAAGCGGACCATGCAGGAGTCATGCCGGCGCGATCCGTTCACACGGGTCCAAGCCCCCACCCCCCCCTCCCTCAACCCCATTCCTGTGGCCGTGCGGGTGTTCCGCGGCCCTGGAGCCCCATGACGACATAATCGGTGTGTTACAGGTCGACGCACGAGCTTCCTAGGCGATGCACCCCCACCCCCTGCCAACCATCACGCGGCCCCGCTGCTCAACGTGTGCTTCCAGGAGCGGCCCAGGTAGCGGGTGACGTGAGGGGGCTGTCACCGCCTCACCTGACGTGCGTGTGTCTCACCGGGCAGGGTCGCCGGCCGACGACATCGGGACGCGTGATGGGGCTTGCCGACGAGTACCCGCACGCCCGCGGGGCTCGTCACTCCTCGAAGACTTCACTCAAGCTGCGTGCGCAGGTGCTGGGACCCCGACATCTGTTGCCGCCGCTTGCTCATCCTGCGTGCGGGTACTCCACCGCTTTGCTCTCCGCCGCCCCTTTCCTTGGTTAATGTGACCTCCGGTTTGACACGTTTGTCGGACTGCTTCTCTTCACAGACCAGGTCAGCGTTGTATTCAGGGCTTGGCCCAGGACGAATGAGGATTCGCGACTGCACGGACAGTAGCCTGCGCCGATTTTTCGCTCTAGCATCACGCATTTGGAGCGAGCCCAGATGGTGTGACTGATTTCTGCTTGGTGTTTTTGTCAGCGAGAACATCGTTCATTCGGGCTGACTTGACACACCTCATGCAGAGATTGGTGCCTCGCGAGGTGCGCGGGCGCAACTCTGCTGCGTGGCTCGCAGTACAGTTTGCAGCAGCGCAAGTGCGCGTACGAGGAAGCCCGAGTCGACCCAAGTTGACCCTGTGGTGGGGCAGAGCGTCAAGAGCGGGGGTTCACGCTGAGCAGCCTCACGCCCTCCTTGATCACCGCGCGGACAAAGGGATGCTGAGAGCAGCCACGGCAAGACTGTGAGCCCGCGTTGAGTTCAGAGAGTCGACGACAACGCCACAGAGCTCACGGTGCGTTTCAGAGGTCTCTCGACGTTTCTGCCGAGCCGTGCGTGCAGCAAACAAGTACGTCACGTGAGTTGCATTTCGGACTTCAGCGCTCAAGATGTTCAAGATTCAAGCCCGGTTCGACGTAGCAACATCGGCCAAATGGATGTCTTTTCCCGGCTCTGGAAGGTCACAAAGGCCGGGCTCCCGAGATTGTCGCAAGGACGCGGCCTTGCAGAGTCTCCACGTGGGCGGAACGTCACGCGGGGCTCAAAGTCTTCCGGCCTGAGGCTTGGGCGCGCAGCTGTGCGCGTTGGCCGACGGTCTCGGAGAAGCTGCCCGTGTTCACCATGTCCCTGCAAACACGCGAAAAGCGAACCCGCGCATGAGATGCACGCGCGGGCCGTACTCAGGAGGTCTCAACAGGTCTTCATGTGCTGGGTCCAATGCGCACCCTGACCAGACGATGTCCGAATCGTGATGCGCGTAGCGCCACATGGCCCACGGCCGACGAGAGAAGTCTTCGGGATAATCGTACGCGGCTGGGTGGAACCGCGGAGCAAATCTGCATCGATAAACGCGCATGCACACCTCGTGTGCTAGATTGTATTGTCCTCTCGCACGTCTGCGGACCAAGGACGGCGATTTTCCCGAGTCGTCCGCACCTGGGTCGCTTCATCTTCTTCATCTCCCTTCCGAGCAGGAACGCAGCATAGGCAGAGGCCGCGACAGCAGAGACAAACTTCATGGCATCACGGGCACGCCCGAGGCGGTACGGGTCCATGTCCCACAAAGTCCGCCCTCCCGTGCCGTCGAACCACATGAGATCTGCGTAGTCCGGATCCAGACGCTCGCGGTACGGCTTCTGCGGCTCCACTTTGCCGCCACTGCAGTGCAGGAGAGCAGGAGCGCCCCTTCGCAGGCAGAGCCTTTCTGACATTGTGCCGTGGACTCAACGCCGCAGCACGACTGAGGCGCTCACTCTTGGCCCCGAATAGTCTATGGGCCTTTTGCCTGCCGACGTATCCGGGCGTGCGGACTGGCAACCTCGCCACCAATTTTCACTTCGGCCATGTGTGAGGCTGGTTCCTTGCCTGAACGTTGACCGGCTCTGTCCATGTGTTGCAATTCTGTCCCAGGAGTGCCGCAACAGGCGCCGGACGCCAGAGGACGATTGCATCGCAGGACAAGTCGCTGTTGCGCCTTGCGATGAGCGGATTGTGCGGCAGAAGACCTCGTGGACGCAGTCACGGCCGGCCTCGCGCAGCTCGAGTAGCGCTGCCGCCAGGTGGCGTTCTTTGAGTACCGCTGCGTTGAGGTACCCGCCGGGTCGCAAGGTTCTTGAGTGAGAGGGCTCCTGCACTCCCAAAGTTAGTCGGTGCAAGGGCCGACGAGCTGCAGAGACGCAAGGTAGCGGCAGCCGAGATGTACAAAGCGGCGCAGAGCTGCGAGGTCTAAACCTGGTTCAGTTCAACCAGTGCCCCCGTCGGGCTGGAGCGCATGGCCAATGGGGGCGCTTGACAAGCCTTGTGCTCAGCACTGCTGGCAGCCAGGCGGCCCGGCTCGGGGCCGCGTCGCCGCGCTTGAGCCTCGCATAACTGCTCCGACGCAGTAGCTGGGCCACGCGTCCCGAGCGAACGTAGCGAGGGTTGCACAGCAAACACGGTGGACGCCCTCCAGCTGCGCGCTGGGGTTCTGGAGGTTTGAGTGCGCGAGACCATGCCTCCGGACCCACTTGCCGCGTAACCAGCGTTCGGCGCACCTGATTGTGAGCTGCGTGAGCGGGGGCTGCGGACAAGCAGATACATCCTCGAGGCCGCTTGTCGACATTCTCCTTGGCGCATGTCCCGAATTGCAAGGACAGGAGGAGAAAATGTCGTCGAGCGGAACACCCCGTCATGGTGCGTAAACTTTGAGAGACAAATATCGCGCATTCTCTGCGCATCACGAAAGAAGCATGGGGCGACGCGCAGTGTTCTCCTCCATGGAACCTTGATGAGCGACATGATCACACCGCATCGTACTAGCCGGCCACTCACATTGTGCAACCATGATGATGATGACAGGGAACGGCAGCACGGCTGCAGCAAGTGTGCAAGGCTCCCTTTGTTCGTCCATGGCACGCTGCAGATCGCGGTCAACCTCCGTCGTTGGTCTTGTAGGCTCAATGCGACTTTTTGGCCTGCAGCACCGTCGCCCAGCTGTCAGGCTCGCAGGCGCCTCACTCAGTAAAGCATCCTGATCTGGCGCGCAGAGCACAAGGGCGCGCGCGCATCGGCCTCCCGCGCCCGCAAACCGAAGGCGCGTGATGTCGCGAAGGAGTGCATCGTCGACCACCGCGACTACAAGCTCGGCAAGGCTCTTGGCACAGGTTCATTTGCTACCGCATATCGCGCCACCCAGATCTCGACAGGAAAAACTGTCGTGGTCAAGCGCCTGGAAAAGCTGCCTCCGCGCGACGACCCAAGCTACGCGAGCCTCGCGAGGATGGTGTACAGCGAGATTGCGATCATGCATCGCGTGGGGTCGCATCGCAACTTGGTGTCACTCAAGGGGTGGTTCTATGACGATGAAGGCGTCATATGTATGGTACGCACGTGGCTTGCTCGAAGAGATCGCCCGCGTGCAGTTGCACCGCAGTGCCAGGCGCACGGCCGCAAAGGAGTTGACGCATGCGCGCGGGAGTCCTTTCTCTGCGAACCTTACGCCAGAGGACCGAGGCCCGCCGCGTCTCTCACGCACCTGCACCGTGGCGCTCTCCCGCAGGTGCTAAGTCATTGCGGCGGTGGGTCGCTAGCAAGCATTTTGAAGGCCCCACCAGGCAACTCAGCTCTTGGCTCTGGGCAGGGCGACGACGACGGCGCAACACCGCCGACGGACGTGTTCCCCGAAGCGCAGCTGATGATGTGGTTCGTCCAGCTGCTGTCAGGGTTGCACCACCTCCACGAGCGCCAGGTCATGCACCGCGACATCAAACCTGCCAACATCTTCCTCTCCAAGTCCCTTTCCATCGTCCGACTTGGCGATCTGGGAGTCGCGAAGGAGCTCGATAAGCCCAACGGCCTTGCGGCCACGATTCTCGGAACGCCTTACTACATGAGCCCCGAGATAATGGCCAACAAGCCGTACACTCTTGCTTCTGACATCTGGTGAGCTCCACGTTGACCGCACTTGCTGCATTGCCTGTCCCGACCCGCTAAAGCATTGCTGCGATGTGCGACAGGATCTGTCCAGGCGCGGCCGTCACTAAGTGAACCATCTGCCCTGCGCACACGAAATCATTGTGGCACCCTCATGCCTCGCAGGTCGCTCGGCTGCGTTCTGTACGAGATGGCTGCGCGCCGCACGGCATTCGATGCGGCGGGGCTGCCGCAGCTAGTAATGCGTGTCATGCGCAACGCTTGGGAGCCGCTGCCCTCTTACTTTTCGGCAAAGTTTCGTCAGCTGGTGCAGATGATGCTGCGCGCGGACCCTGAGCAGCGCCCGACAACCGCGCAGCTCCTCGGCCATCCATTCGTGCGGCAACACCTGGCGGCGCACATCGAGGCGTCACGGTCGGGCGGTGGGGGGCGCACGTCAACCCTGGACGTGCTGTATCCGAATCCTCGAACGGCCAACACTGCTCGGCCGTCTACGCAAGCGGGCGTGGTGCCGCCTGCAGCCACCGGACCTCGCCCCCGAACCGGCGCGCGGGTGCGGAAGGGGAGTTCTTCGGCAGGCCCTCCGAAGACATCGCCATCGTTGTTGCATGGCAACGACGCTGCTCGTCCCAAGAAGCCCGGGGGCGGGAAGAAGCGAAGGAAGCCGCGTGGCCCGGCTGGCACTGGAAACATTTCCACGGTGCAGGTGTCGCGCAAGGCGGCGAACTGGGAGGGCAGGTTGCACCACGAGAATGCTCGGGATCGGCTTGCGCAGAAGCGCTGGAGCGTGTGGGAGCTCGAAGCCCGTCGGGCACGCGAGGAGGCGCGGGAGCGCGCTCGGATGCGCAGCGGTGGCGACGTCGCGGCGATGGCAGAGCAGCGACGGGCCTTGGAGGAGGCAGAGGTGGCAGCTGCGGAGGAATCCATTGTGCACCGTGTCCAGGGCGACTCCGACGACTGCGAGGACGTTGCTCACGCAGCGTTCGTGAAACGAGAGCGGCTGGGGCGCACGAGAGTGGCTGGGATCAACGAGAGCGCTGAGCATCGGGCTCGTATGTTCGACATTGCCATGGACTTGGAGCTCCTCAGCGACGGCGAAACACCTGCGAGCGAGCCTCATGGGCCACTGCAGTGCGGGCAGGAGTCGCTGGCAGCGTCCGGTATCACTCCCCCTGAGTCACCAGCAGTGATACCTTCTTTGCGGTTCGACCCGATGTCCACGGGACCACTTGATTTTGAGAGCTCTCTACACGAGCCCAGCGACGACCGGTCCGGGCTCCCGGCACCTGTGGCACGAAGCGGGGAACAGGCTCATGCGACGCAGCGCAGCGGACCGTGGGAAATCGGTGTCCTGCCTGGAGTGCTGACTCGGCAAAGGCTTGGCCCAGGAGGCAGCACCGAGGAACGGCCAGCATCGCCGCCACACGTACGCGCGGTGCACAGCGCGGACAGCGCAGCGCGTATGCTGGCGGAAGCGCAGGGCGGGTTGGGTTCGGACCTGCCCGTAACTGGTGAAGAGGCCCGAGCGCTCGACGAGCTGCGCATGGCATTTGAGGTGAGCGGTGAAGAACAGCGATGGCAGCTGATGCTTGACATATGGGATGCCGCGATGGCGAGGGAGCTCGGCCCGGAACGATACGCGGATGAGGAGGATGCAGAGATTTTCCACTCGAGCGATGCGCGTGAAGAGGACGAGGTGCGGGCGCTCCCTGCGTGCGACGATGACGGGGATTCATTCTGGGCCGGGGCTGGCACAGGAGCGGCTGAATCACACCGAAGCGAGGAGCTAGAGTCAACAACCGAGGACGTGCTGCTATCTGCGCCTTCAGCGCCAGGAGCGACCACGGGAAGGTGCTCAGTCAACGAGGCTGGCGGCGGCCAGGTGCCGTCGGCTGGGCCAGCGGGCGGGGATGCGTGTGCTTGCCATGGCACTCAAGGCAGTGCTGAGTGCCTAGGGTCAGAGCGACGTGCCCTCTCCCCGCGTCAACGTCGGCGACACTGGGGAACCGGGGAGCGGAACCGGCTTGAGGTGGCGGTGTCGCTTGAACACGCCCCCTTGGAGGTGTCTTCGCCACAAGCGACGACCGCACCCCCTTCGAGGCTTCAAGCAGGACCTCCGGACCTCGAGGGTATGATGATGGGCTCTCCCAGGGCAGCAGGCGGCCCATGTATTGACACATCAGGGCGCGAGGAGCGTTCATTTAGCGAACTACCCGATGACATGTGTCCTGGGCGTCTCGGACATGAGGCTGCGCAGGCAGACGACGATGACGTGCTGCTGGGCAGTTTCCGTGACCTGCTATCATCTCCACAGGACCTCTCGGCGAGCGGCACAGTCGGAGCAGCCCCCGGATCGCCACGACAGGCAGGGCAGGGTGGTGAGAGCAACTCGGGAGCAGGTGAAGATCCCGTAGACCTGAGTCGCGACGCGCGTCTGCTTCAGCCGGAGCCCTTGCCGGACACAGTGCGACTGGAGACGGTGAGAGCCGAACCCGGTACGAGCGATGGAGAAGACATGGTGCAATTGGGCAGCGACTGGGGGTCAGCGGGTGGGCCGATGGCTGGGTCGCTTGGGGCTTGGGCGGACAGCGAGTGTGCTGCTGCGATGCAGTCGCCGCGCACCGGGTCGTCCGGGGCGGGTGCGCAAGCTGCTGCGAGCCCTCCTGAACATTCCAACGTACCACCTCTGTGCGCCCTGCCGGCAGACACGACGTCGATGCGCCCGTCGACGGCGCCAGCGATCGATGAATGTGCTCGGCCCACTGCTCGCCAGGTCAGGCGATCGCCTTCGAGCGCAGGGAGGCCTCCCCAGGCCCCACATCCTTCAAAGCAGGATCGTGTCGCTGCCTCGATGGCAGCGGTCCCGCTGACGCATGCGGTACTACCAGAAGGTGGAGGATCGGGATCGATGCGTGGATCCCTGTGCTCGGAACGCCTCAGGGGGCTGATGCCGTCCTTTTCAGGTGCTGTAGACAGGTCTGCGGGGTCCGCGTCGGGGCGCGCTAGCCACGCCTCTTCCGAAGATCTCGTGATCCCTCGTGATACGACAAGGGGGGACATGAACGGTCGTCGAGGCGAGCGGGGAGCGCGAAAAGGCGAAGGAATCCAGCTGAGGCCAGTGGCATCGTCAAGTACGACACTCACAGCAGACAGCACAAGCGACACGCAAGGCGCTTCGTATCTCGCTCTGCTGCGGGATCTGAAACATCGGCGTCGACTCTGCTCGTTATCTTCGAGCAACCCGACGAGTGTTCCTCATTCTCAACAGCAGCTGCAGGGTGCGGGCAGCTCCGCTCGACGAGAACAGCAGCCGTCGGCCCGGGTGGAGGTGCATCCGTTTCATGACTCGGGGGTGGAAGCTGTGGACGGTCCTGGAGGGACAGTTGCTGAGGTGTTGGACTGCAGTGATGACGACTCAGGGGCATGCGATGCTCACGCCAGATCGGACTTTGACGAAGCGGGACAGCTATTGTCGGCGACGGACTCGGATCAGGATCCGTCTTGCAGCGAGGAAGGGCGCGAATCCGCGTTGACCAGCCTCGAAAGCGACAGCTGCGACGAAGATGCGTCTGAAGAGGAAGACGAAGGTGATGACGAGGAAGACGATGGCAGTACGGTTGCGTCGAGTAGTTGCGAATCGGACGAAGACTACGCTGACGACTTTGAGGCGCTGGAGCTGGAGGACATTGCGCCCACCTAGGCATGCAATGCACTGCTGGGCATGTGAGACGAATGGATGGATAATGTGTCCTGGAAGTCCCGTGCTCAGGATGTGTTGGACACAACGACTTCGTCCCATGGCCATCTACGACTATATCTGAACGCTTGGGCGAGCCATGATTGCGGACGACGAATTCGAGCTGGTGAGAACGTCGGTCCGTCGGGACAACTCTTGCGCCCCTCCCCCCTCCCCTGGGATAGCAGCAGCAGTCCGTCGCACTGGAATGCAACGAAACGTCACCAAAGAAGTACTTCACTCACCAGTGCAAGACGCGGACGTGCACTCGTCCTGGTCACTTCGGCGTCGTAATGGCACCAGTGCCGCGCCCAACATACCGGCGTGAGGCAGGGCGACAACCACACGCACACCTACGCACGGTGTCCAAGGAATTGTCAAGATCACAGGAGGAAGGGCACCCACGCTATTTTTTCTTTTTTCCTTTGCCCTTGCCCTTCTTCTTCTTCTTCGCCGCCTCCGCCTCGGCGGCCTTGCGCGCGATCTCCTCCTGCGCGACGACATTCGGAACCTCCACAGCTTAGCAGGCAAACGAATCAATGCAGAAAAACGCTACTTGGCGCTGAGGGATGCACTTGCCTCTGCACGACGCCGCGCCTCCTGCATTTCTCTTACACGCGCAACTTCACAGCGACGGCGTTGTTCTTCTTCTGCATCGATCCTGCAGGTCGACATGGCCGATTGATGGTTGCAGTGGCAGCTCAGCGAGAGTTGACAACAGAGCACCAGAAACGCCAGTCACGGACCTGTCCTCCTCTGCATCCTCCTGAGCTCGCCTCGCCTTGACTTCAACGACCGCCTGAATGTCTTCTACAGACGTGCCACCCGCAGCGTCAGCCTGCTTGCAACCAAGGCAGAGTGGACAGATGTTTGTTTGTTGTTTGACGTGTCGTGCAAGACGTCCGGAAAGAATCTTGTTCGCGACCGAGTGCATCGACCCCCCCTCCTGACCTGATTGACGTCGTCGAACAGGATGATTTCATCATGTTCCCAGTCCCGCATCAACTGCCCCCTGGCAGCATCGCCCCGCATGCGTACGTTCTCGATCATCTCTCTAATGCGGTCGACTTTTGCCACATGGCGCGGGTCGTTGCCGTAATCGTTGACTTGCTCGGTGTCCGCGCCGCAAGCGAGAAGCACGGCTACGCACAGCAGATGCGAGAACGCAGCAGCCAAGTGCAGTGGCGTGTTGCCGACTTCCCCAGCCTTGTCGACCGCCGCACCGCAGTCGACAAGCAGTCTGCAGACTTTATCGTGGCCGTATTGGGCGGCGACATGCAGTGCAGTGTCCCCATTCGCGAACCGTGCTGATGCACTGGCACCGTTCTCCAGGTGCATGGAGACGAGCCCCACGTCGCCGTCTCGGAGCGCCTGTAGCGGAATCATGCCCCCTCTTGTCGAATGCTCGACTTTGAATGCAGGATCGCTATCGCCGCACGTCGTCGACTTTCCCGCCGACGGCGAGAGCAACGCGTGCTCTTCCAACATGCTGTTCCAGGCCCACAGCTCTGTTTTCGGACACGTCGTCTTTGAGCCGTTCCGAGCCTGAGAACGTTACGGAATGTGAGCACCTAGTGATTGTCCATGGCAGTTGCCGGCGACGGTGGTTGAGCCCAAGGCTCCTCGGACTACCGCCGGGACCCGGGCCGGACTGTCCTAGGCCTGGGCTCGCGCGACTGCGGCTCACGTGCGGAAGCGCACTGCGCGCCGGATTACAGGTGCTCGATAGAATCGGGCAGTCTCGGTGCGACGGAGCTCGGCGTGCAAGTCGTCCTGACGCAGATCGCACGACTGTCCCGTCTCCATGTGGGCAGTATTGAAAGCAGGATACCCCTGCACTCCATTCGGCTGTCTGGCTGTGGACGCCCACGAGCGTCGTCGGTGCGACCTGCGGATCCGGGCAGTGCCCGGATCAGGCGGCCTAGAGGAAACACATTGACCAAGGAAAGGACAATGTATTTCTGATACGCTGACAACAGCCTCCGCGACCTGTGGTGCAACGCCTTGGCGACCGTCAATCCGTGGGTGCGTTGCGTGAAGTCTCACATCCTCCGACGCGAAGCGACGACAAGCCGCCTCTCATGGTTCCGAGTGTGGACAGCTGGTCCAGTCCCACGAGGCGGCCGCAAGGGGCAAGAGTGCCAGCCGAGCATCTTGAGGTCGCTCGTCGGGCATATGCAGCCGCTGCAGCAGCGGTTGCAGAGTCTCTCCCAGTCACGTATGGCAGAATCATTACTGGTAGGTCCCATAATAATCCTTCAAACTTCGTCCTTCACGAAGCGTCACGTCCGTTGACAGCAGGGGGTGCCGGGGATCGGCTGCGAGGGAGAAAAAAATCAACATATTTACCGAAAAAGATTCATCATCAATCAGCCAGTGTGCCACACTCCTCCAGCATGCAAGCCAGGCAACGAGGATGTCGGCGCGAGCTCGGACGGCGAGAGCGTACCGGTGCGATTGCTAGGCTGCGTGCCTGCAAGCCAGCCGATGTCATTCTGTGTGGTCAGCGGGGCTTGCATAGCGTGCTGTGGCACCTGCTCATCCCGACGATGCCGCGCTCTGTCGTCCTGCATTTTCCCGTTCGACATGTACTTTGCCGCACCTGCAAGGCAGATGCCCGGCGGGACACCACTTCGCAGGGATATGGACAAGGGCCCGTCGCATAGCTTGATCGTCAAAACGTCTGAACACGGCGCTCAGCTTGTAGCCCGGGCAATCATACCTTCATTACGAGCACGTTCTGCGAGCTTCTCAACGCACTCGAGGAACTCGTCGAGGGTGATCACACCATGTGCTCCGAGGTCGAAGAAAGTCAGCACCGCCGCCCGCTCCTCGAGACTCAGCTCGCGGCCCAAGCACTCCTGTATGATGTGCGGGACCTGGGGACGCGGGACGACGGCAGCACCGTCCATCTGCAAAGGCGGTGAAAGCCGCTTGTGCAGTAAGCGCATGCCCTCGGCATGGTGCACTCGCTGTTAGTCCTTAAGACGAGATGTGCCGCGATGCTGAGAACGTCGAGACGATCCGCTTCCCGAGTTGCTACAAGATGGCTACCATACGCAACGCACAGGAACCGCATGCCTGAAAATCTCGGCGGAGCCGTTCGTCTACGAAGGTCGCGATTGTGCGGCACGGAGGGACAGTTATGGACGGTGTATGAGCACGGGACCTCACGGGACAGACAATAATCTGCAGGAACGTCCGCATACGTGCGCAAACCTGGTACACATGTGCAAGCCGTTCATCTGTCCGCTCCTTGAACAGCTGCTCTGCCCTCCGCACGTCGACCAGCTGCAGATCTGCGAGCATGCGAGACTGTTGATGTCGCAGCACCGATCCGTTGCCCATGAAAGTCATGCCGAACAGGCTCTGCGCCATCGCGTTCAGAACAGGTGGCCCTTAGGTTCCGGTCTCGCTGCTACGCGGTCGTCGACGCAAGTTGCAGCAGTGAGCAGGGATCAACTTTCTGGTGCGAGTTCGGTCATCCGCCGGAGCTCCCCGGTCTCATCTCGCGCGGCCGGGCTGGTGAGCACTCAGCAGGAGTCTAAGCATGCGCCTTCTACTGCGGGTCCTCTCGACCCATAGGGGGCGGCGGCGCAATGGCCCCGGGGGGGCGACCGGCGGCGGCCACTTGGCGCCCCTGACCCCCTATTTGGCCGTTGGATGGCCCTTCAGCCTGAAGGCCCCTGAAGGCTTCAGGGGCGAGCGATGGCTGGGCCACCCCTCGGGCGCTGCCAAGATCGCTTTACAGCTTCTCCGGAAGATAAATAGCGCCCGCAGTGATGCAGAAGAGATATACATCATCACATGGGCACAGAACTATGATGTCAGTCCCGCACGTGCCCGGAAATGGCCAGCAGAGCTGAAGCGCAAGCTCGATGAGCTCGGCGGTGTCGTGACGTGGCGCGAGATTCATAACGACTAAGGCACTTTGCACAGCAAAGACACCCTCAACCGGCTCGAAGTGCACGGCGGGCTGGCACTTTTGGCGCCCACCCGGCCATGCCAAAGCAGCAAAGTTCATCTTTGGCGACGTGCTGGTCTGCGCTGAGCACGGCCGGGGGTCGAGAACGCCGTCATGCGCCTGTCCCAGACTCGCGAGCTGCTCGTTGCACGTCGCGAGGGGCGCAGCGCCATCACGATCAGGCTGTCGCGCGGGCTAGGTTGTGCCAAACGCGCGGCGCAAAATTTGGTAGCAGCAAGTTCAGCACTGCCGGGCAGCTGTGACAGTCAGCTTGCAGCAGATTCTCCATGCCACGAGCAAAAGGCGATATGCCTCGCTGATTCGGCGCAACAGATGTCGGGGTCCCAGCACCCGGCACACAGCTCGAATGAAGACGTAGATCAGTGACGAGCCCCGCGGGCATTTGGGTACTCGTCGGCGAGCCCCACCACGCGCCCCGATGTCGTCGGCCGGCGACCCTGCCCGGTGAGACATCACGCATGTCAGGTGAGGTGGTGACAGCCCCTCACGTCAGTGACGGTCACCCGCTACTCGGGCCGCTCCTGGAAGCACACGTTGAGCAGCGGACCCGCGTGATGGTTGGTCATGAGACGGGTGGGCGTGCAGTGCCCAGTGAGGTGAGGTGAGGTGTCACATTCTTCGCGTCGTCAGCCATAAGGCTTTGGGACCTGAAAAGATCATTCGACTAGGTGGCGAGTCATGCCAACCCCCCACCGTTATGGTAGCAACAGGTTCGGCAGCTGTGACAGAGTCAGCCTGGAGCAGATCCCCGATGCCACGAGCGAAGATCGCCATGCCTCGCTGATTCGGCAGGTGTGAGCACGGCTCAGGGCGCAGGACGCGCCGCTGTCTCTTGATCGTGAGAGATGGGAGCTCGGGTTGGTGGGGAAGGGGGGAAACCGGGCCGCGCCGCGCCGTCGCACTGTGACTATCCGCGGCCCGGACACGTTCGAAAGGGGTGCATGTTCCCAGTCCCACGTGCTTGCCGGGCGCTGTTGGAGGTGGGACTCCCTGTTAGGATCACGGGCGGGATCGATGCTGCACCGAGACGGTCTGCACCATGCAGATTGCACTGAGCCTTGCTGCAGCCTCGTCAGACTATCATCTGCTCGTTCTGATGACAGAGCAAGCGCATGCGCTGTCGCTCGCTGCTCCGCGGCTGGCACGGGGCGGACATGCGCAGTGCTGGTATGGGCGGCGGGAAACCATTGACTTGTGTTTCCCACTTGAGGCAAGGTTTCGGGCCCGTTGCGAAAAATCGGCCCCAGTTGTTCAGGTAGATTGGCGAGCGTTTGCTGCGATGCTAGCTGCGCCTGAGGCGGCGAAAAACGGAGGCATGTCTGATTGCTGCACACCGTCATGTCCGGAGCAGCGAGCAGCGGGCGGTCCTCCCGCAGCCCTGACTGCATCAGCCAACCACTGCACCGCTGAAGCGCCCGTCGCGTGTGCATTGTGCCCGTCGCCAGCACGTGATTTGGGCCCTGTAGTGCCCAAAGTCTCGACGATTTCGGCATGGCCTGTGCGGCGCCAACCGCGGAGCAGTGAGCTGCTGCACACATGCGCTGAGCACAGGCGTCCGCTTGTCGACCGTGTGCGCCACCGTCGAGCGACCGCAAATCGGTGTCGAGCGTTGACGCAGACGACGTGACGCGAAATGAAGGTTGTGGCGCAGCAGGTATCGTGCCCAGGTTTCCTGGCCCCTCCCTGAGGGAGGGGGCCGCCAACACGCCTGAGTCCACACACCCGCGACCGCCTTGAAGCGCCGCGCTGGTGGCAGCGCCTAGCAATGCAGTTGCCGCGGCAGTTTGGTCGCCGTCATCGTGATGGCGAAGGTACTCATGGTTCAGACCGATCCTGGCAGCCTCATCAAAACTGCGTTGGGCAATTGACGCAAGGTCGTACATCATCGAAGCATCCTCCAGAGATGCGTCCCAAGATGGTGGCGATGACCCGAGATGTAAGCCCGATGCCGTCATTTTGCCATCAGCAAAATGGACCCCTGCAACTCCTTCGACACCCCCCGTTCCGTGAAGTACTTCCTCATACGATGTTCTGTCGGTCTGGGCCGAGCCAGTCACCCCGTCTCAGCTGGGACGTGTGTGACGAGCGCTATGAGCATCGCGAACAATCAACGTCAACATGATCGCGAACAGCCCCGTCCACATTCAGAAGGTGGGTTGCAGCCCCGGCTGCTGCGCTACGCTGGGGCTCGGTGAGAGCCTTGGTGGCTCCGTCCAGGACGAGACGTCCAGCCTCAGGCCGCTGACTTGCTTGTGCAGTCTCCGCCAAATCCCGACGAGCGGCTCGTCGCAGCTGCAGCACGAGCTCGTATATGTGCCCTGTGAAAACCTCAGGAAAATTGACGCCCCGGCGCAGAGCCTCTTCGAGTCCTTTCGACTGGATCATTTGCTGGTCGTACGCGCGCGCAGCTGCTGCTGCAGTCTTGAAATTGCCGATTATCTGCTGTCTGCCGCCATCATACATGTATGCAGTGAAGCGAGTGTTGCTGTGCCTTCGCACCCCTTTGAATCTCCGTTCCTTATGTTCCCACGTCCCTTGGACGTCGCTGGACGTCGAAGCAGGCTGCGCACCGTGTCCCGAAGGCGACACGCCCATGGTAGCCAGCAGTGCAGTTATGCACAAGAGTGCGTGCCCTCGTGAAGCTGATGAAACTTGCCCGCAGTTGCTCCCGAAGATTGAAGGGTCGCAGGCTGCACCTGCCGGAGTAGGCAAAGCTGGCGCACCCGCAGCGCCATTTGCAGCCGCGTCCTCCCGCCACGCCAGGTCGCAGGAAGGTGCACCGGCTGTACCTGAGACCGTCTGGAGGTTTCCTCGCGCGACAACGCCCTGGTGGTCGTCGGTCGCCTCTCCGCAGAGGGCGAACAGGCGTCTCGCCAGCGCCTGGAAGCTTTCGGCTGACAGCTTGTCCACGCAATCATGGTTCTCGCACGCCTCCCCGTGTCCGCAGGTTCGGCCGTTCGCGTCCACGTCGGACGCAATCGGCGCGACGCACGTGTCTTCACGGCGACCACGCTTCGAACGGCCCTCGTGGTGGCCAGCGACGTCTTCAGCACTGGCCTTGCGCTTTGTCAGTGCAGCTGTGGGGTCTCCAGCAGCAGGGACGGGATCACGAGCATGGGCGTTGCCACGGCCGAGTAACCCGTCGCCCGTGTGGGCTCCCATTGTCTCCCTGTGTAGCGCGAGGCTGCGCCCTGGACGCAGGAGGTCGTCTTTCGTGCCGTTGAGAGAACCTTGACTAGGAGGATGAGTAGTAGTTTGGACGCCAGGCCGCACACAAGTCGTGCTGTTCGGCTCTGCCTTGACGATCGCTGCAGCCAGATATGGGTAACAGAAAAAATCGAGCCGCACTCTTTGACCCAGGTCAAAACTGGCTGTGCGAGAGGGCCAGGACACACCGCACCCTCGTACTGCTGCTGCACTTCATCCGGAAAGTTCAGGCCGCGCACGAACGCCGTCTCCAGGCCGCGCATGCGTATGACGTACCGGTCATAGGCGCGAGCAGCCTCTGCAGCAGACGCAAAGGACCCAATTGTGACTTGCTGGTTCCCGCTGTACGCGTAGGCCGAAAACCTTTGCGAACCATAGCTTCGAACGCCCTTATATGTCTGCACAGCGCCTCGCTCTCAAAGAAAAGTGTTGCGGTGCATGTACGACATTCCTTGCGAGACATTTGGCAACAAGGATTATGTCTATGCTGGCATACCCGTCCCGCCGCTTGGCGATCACCGGGTTGTGTGGTGGCCCCGACTTCGTGCTGGAGTTGTCTGTGGAGCTCTCTTCTGGGTTGCGGGATGTGTGCGCCATCGCAGAGTCGATGGCCTCCGAGCACCTCAGCACTTGCATCATGATGCAACCCCACCGCGCCCGCCCTGGATTCGCCTGCGTCAGCCGAGCCCGGCGAGGAACGCATGACTTGGGCCCGACCATCGTCACGATGGCATCGTGACAGCCCGCCTGGCAATCGGTTCCGTACGGAACATTTTCACGTCAGAACCAGATAGTCGAATTGATGCCCGGCAACGGGAACTGACCAAGTCTTTCCTGTGCGTTAAAATTGCGTCCCACGCGACAAAAGATGCACCGGAGCCACAGGCACGCGGCCCAAGCGTGTAGCGTTGTAAATGACAGCACCATGACCAGGAGCGTGGGGGCCGGGAACTTCTCGACGGGCGAACGCGGTCGTCACCTGGACAGCTTGGCCACTGTGCTGTATGATCTGGCCTTGACTCATGCCCGGCGGTCTGGGTCGGCAATGCCGGGGCGACCCGGCTGTCCAATGCAGCTGTGCGGTATCCGTGCGCTCGAGAGGCGCCTTCGTCCTTTTCAACGGCCCGTTCGGTGCCGGCTGGCCATACTGCAGCGCCACGCTTTCCCATAGAGGCACTCAGACGGGCAGGGATTCGCAAAGAGGACCGCCTGGACGGGAAAACGAAAAACGAGAGGCCATGGTGCAGACACGGTGCAGCACGCAAGGCAGAGTGATGGTATCCCGAGCAGATGAGAGCTAACCCGATCTACATAGATCGAATTGATGGGCATGATGCGGGCTACGGGTTGCGGGCAGGGCGCCGAGACTGCACACTGAACTGAGCACACCTGGATCGGTCATGTCGACCGTGATCAGGTCGCAGTGCCGATGAAAGACCTTGCCATATGCCACAGTCGCGATCTTCGCCCTGCGTGACTGGCGATCCGCCCCTATGGAGTCCACCGACGAGTATCATACTGCAGTATAGATTAGCCCCCCTGGACCAGCTCGCGGGGAGTCAGATTCGGAATCGTTCCCCGTCATCAAGATGTGACGTTTTTCGCTCGCACCTTGCGCATTTGTATCAGAACTTTCACCCTGACAGGCCGGGCACAACGATCGATCCCATCGACGCACGGTTCGAGGGTGCCTGTTGGCAACTGTTGCAGCAACGGCGTTGAAAGCCCGACGGACCCAACCCAACCTTCGCGTGACGGTCGCGCGAGTAACTTCGGCTTCAGAGGTGGGCTTTGGCCCAAAGCCATTCGGAATCCTCGTTCAGGGGCTGGGCAGCCCTCAAGGCACAGGGCGTTTCCTGCGGGGCCTCGCACTGCCGCACGATCCGGCAATAGGACGCCCTTGAGGATAAAGCCTGGGTTGATCATGGACCTCTTCTACTTGCTGGTCTTCGCGGCATGTGCTTTGGTCGCAGCATTTGCTCAGGTCATGGCACCACGGCAACGCCACCTCGAGGGTTCACCTGCCTTCCTGGCGTTCAGAAATAATTATCTCCTCGTATACTGTCTGATGATGGGTGAGCTTTGTCCCGCGCTTCTGGCTGCTCGACCGCGTGAACACGATTGATGTGTCACTCTTGCCGTGGAGTGGTGCGCATCTCACGTGCGCTTGCACACCTCGTGGCGCAGCTGGCGACTGGCTGCAAGGCCCCTACGTATATGCGCTGTACGAGTATTACGGCTTCGATGTCGGCACAATCGGGCAGCTTTTCATTGCTGGATTCGGGTCGTCTCTCGTCTTGGGCACCTTCGCCGGAACACTGGCGGACACGCACGGAAGGAGGCTTTCGGGGCTGATGTATTGCGTGTTCTACATCGCCTCGTGCGTCACGAAGCACTCTCCAAATTACTGGTGAGCTGCAGCACCAGCCCCACACACACGCAGAACAAGTGCCGCAGTCGAGCGCCCCGGAGCTCCGGGCGGTCGCTTGGACAAACTTGTCCGCTCCTGCCTGAGGGTGCAGGATCTTGATGCTGGGCCGCGTTTTCGGAGGGATCGCAACCTCTCTGCTCTTTTCGACCTTCGAATCCTGGGTTGTGTCCGAGCATTTGGGTCGCGGCTTCGATCCAGACTGGCTGTCGGACCTGTTTTCTAAGGCCGTCTATCTAGGCAACGGTCTTGTCGCCATCGTGTCCGGTCTGCTCGCCAACCTCCTGGTCGACACTCTCGATCTGGGCCCAGTGGCTCCATTCGACGCAGCAATCTTCGCCCTGGGGGCAGGCGCCATCATCATGCGCTCCTCCTGGACTGGTGAGATGCCGCAGAAATCGCATCACCTCATTGGAGCGCTGTATGGATACCGGTGACTGCCCTGTTGTGGCAACATGCGCGTACGGCAGTGCAAGGTATTTCTCTGTTCGTGTCGAGGAACCGCAGAAAACTTTGGCGATAAGTCTCACACGGAGTCGGTGTTGCAGCAGATGAATCGTGCACTCGCAGTGATGCGCGAGTCTCCGAAGGTCGCTTTGCTTGGCGCCCTGCAAGGTCTCTTTGAGGGTGCCATGTACACTTTCGTCTTCCTATGGACCCCTGCGCTCTCCCCTCGGAACGTCGAGATCCCACACGGAATGATCTTTGCATGTTTCATGGTGTCTTCCATGGCTGGAGCAGCGATTGCTGGACGGCTCATGGCACGCGGCAACAAACCTGAAGTTTATATGCAGCAGGTCTTCTTGGTCGGCGCGCTCGCGCTAGTTCCTCCTGTACTGCTGCACACACAAGGCCAGGCCCCCGATGCTGCGTCGGGCGTTCTGGTCTCCGGAAACGGAATCACTTCCGTGGGTCAAGTTCAATTACTTGGGTTCCTCGTGTTCGAGGTCAGGCGCCTAAGATCCCGTTGACAGGATGCTATCGCTATGAATGAAGTGGAAATGCTTGGCTGCTGTTTGGCCGCGATGGAGTCGAGGGCGTTCGTCAGGCCTCTGGCCGACAAGCTGCTGGCCTTTTGTTGCGTTGCATCTGCAGGTCTGCGTTGGGATTTTTTGGCCGTCCATGATGCGCATGCGGTCGGATCACGTTCCCGAGGAGGTGCGGGCGACGATGATCAACATGTTCCGGATACCACTCAACGCCTTCGTGCTGGTAGTTCTCTACAACGTTTCTAAGTTTCCTTTGGCAGCGATGTTTGGTTTGTGTTCCTTGCTGCTCTTGGTGTGCACGATTTTGCAGCGAAATCTTGCCCGTGTCGCTCAGGGCGTCGGGAAAGGTGCAAGCACCGCGTAGGAAAAGGTACTTGGCCCGACTACTAGAATGGGCCTGTGTAATCAAACCGGAGGTCCGACCTCCGGTGACGGAGTCCGTCAGCACTTTGGCCCCCAGCGTCAGGCACGTCATATGACGCGTGAGTCTGCCCTGACGCTATGACGCCGGCTCTGCTCGCGCGCTTCTGACGCGTGAAGCGAAAGTGCTAGCAACACCGTCGAAGGTGGCGTCCGACCGCGAGTCACACTCAGCTGTCGTCCACGGCAACTGTTGGGCAGCGCCGCCGCTTCGCTCTCAACCGCCGGCTGCGCCTGCACCTCGAGGGCCTGCACGGTGCTGCAGTACGATTCGGAAGCCGCTGCCAACGCTGCCGTGCGTTATATTTTGAACCTGCCGAATCAGCGACGCATGGCGATCTTCGCTCGTGGCATCGAGGATCTGCTGCAGGCTGACACTGTCACAGCTGCCGAACCTGTCGCTACCATAACGGTGGGGGGCTAGCATGACTCGCCACCTAGTCGAATGATCTTTTCAGGTCCCAAAACCTTACGGCTGACGACGCGAAGAATGTAACACCTCACCTCATTAACCAAGGAAAGGGGTGGCCGAGAGCAACGACGCGGTGGAGTACCCGCACGCAGGATCAGCAAGCTGCGCACGCAGCTTGAATGAAGTCTTCGATCAGTGACGAGTCCCGTGGGCGCGCGAGTACTCGTCGGCAAGTCCCACCACGCGTCCCGATGTCGTCGGCCGGCGACCCTGCCCGGTGAGACATACGCATGTCAGGTGAGTCGATGACAACCCCTCACCGCGAGGGATCACGGACCGCACCGGTTCGATGCATCGATGCTGTCGTGGGCACGCCGCGGACGTTGCTGCGTGACCGACCATCATTCGAGGCGAGAGTGAATCCGCAGTCGTTGTTTCCCAACTGTCTGTACCCCGGTGCCCCTTCCGCAACGTGCAGGGCGAAGAAGGACGACGACGCCGGCGGCGTCCCCGCGCCGTCCGCGACCGCCGGCGGCGCCGCGAAGCGTCCCCACGCGCGCCGGGACGACGCCACCGAGGACGACGTGACGTCACCCGCTACTCAGGCCGCTCCTGGGAGCACACGGAGTATTGTGCAGCGGATCCGCGTGGTGGCTGTCAGGAATCGGGTGGGGGTGCAGGGTTGCGTTGACTGAGGCACATTCAGGCGCAAACGTGTTTACTGCGGTCGCATTGACCAAAGACGGGGCAATCGACAGCAGCGATACCTGTTGAGTACCCGTACGCATGGGAGAAAAGTGACGTGCAGATGTTGAGGTCCCAACACAGGTGCGAGCGCAGCCTGAGGTCGATGACGATCCCCGCGGGCGTGAGGACAACCAGGAACTGCCACCACGCGTCCTGAAGTCGTCGCCCGGCGCAGCCGGGCAGCTCTGCCCGGAGAGAGACGTACGCGCTGTGCTACCACGACGCTGTGCATGATCCAGGTAAAGCGTCGACAACATGCGCATTACAAGGATTTGAGCATGTAGAGGACGAGCATGAGGAGGCATGCTATGATCAAGCAGCCGATGATGAGCCAGTTTCGAGAGTTTTTCTGGTGACGCTCGGCATGCTCCAGCTCGACGACGCCCTGCTTCATCAGTTCTGATGTCTGCTGCATACTGTAGTCGACTCGGTCCAGAATCGTCCCCTGCAGCAGTTGCAACCGCCTCGCTTCAACTGGCAGCTGCTCGTTTGAACAATGTGTCGGACAGACATGGCGCTGACGGAGACGAACCTGGTCTATCACCATCATGGAGAGCTCGCTCGTCATGACCGAGAGTTCCTGAATTGACTGGAGAATTTTCAGCACCTCGCGATCGCGCGTGTGCGTTGCGACTTCGATGTCATTGATCAGCAGCTGGTGTGCAGTGCTGCCAAGATCCTTTGTGGCAAAAGCGTGTGTCGCTCGTTCGAGGACCTCGAAGGCCTCGTCTGCCGACCCCCTCGCATGATAGCGATCCGTCCGCGAATGTTCCTGTTGCTGCAACTGATCTACGTGTCTGCGCTGGTCCTTGCGTGTTTCCTGCTGCAAGGTCTGAAGCTCGATTGCCAGCCGTCGTATGATGCTTCGTCTCACCTTCTCGCCATCCCCTGACGCCGCCTTCGCGGTGCTGCACAAAGGGACGTCGCACTGGCGTAGGCGAGAACCGTGGTGCGGCGGCACGACTCGAGACTTCCCCCTCAGCTGCATGGATGCACGTGAGAGCCATAGGGCGCGCACTACCCGATCACATACCTGACGCGAGACATGCAGTCCCCGACGCATTTGGCGATGGAGGCGATCTCCCTGGCCAACAGCTGCATTCGACGTTCCTCCTGCTCCCCACTGTCCCCAAAGGAGGTCAGCAGGGAACGCCGGTGCAAGTCGAGCAATTCGCCACGCTTTCGATGCAGTACCTCGACGTCTTGCGACGCTGTCGCAGCGAGTCGCAGCCACAGGCTGTCCGCGGACACGTTGCCTGCGCGTGCAGCTGTTGCATCAGTTTGAGCTCATGTCGGCCCCGCTTAACGCTTTTGGGTGTACTTCGTGTGCGTGGAGTGCCTCCATCGCGCGTGTGTGCACGCACCTGGTTGCCCACGATCGTCAGCCGGACCGAGTGGCTGCATCCCGCCGAAGTCCCGGTGGCAGTCCGCGTCGAGCAGCCTGTTGTTCTCACTCGGGTTCGCCGCCGAGAAGAGGTCGGCACGCGGCGCGAAAAAGGACCTCTGCCCGCGGAATTTCCGCGATCGGTCCCTGACGTACCCCAGGGCGCCAGGCGACGAGGCAAGGCGCCGCTGACCCCCGAGGGATTCGAGGTTTGTTGCCATGTCGTCAGACACCGTTCGCTACACCGGAGGATACGCAGCAGCTCGCCATTAGTTGCATCTCGTGCAGACCACCCGCGGGACCTGCAGGAGTGCGCAGACAGCGCGCATGAATCCTGTGCACCACCGACCAGTGCGGCAGTGCCCGCGGTGCCGATGGCAGGGCAGCGCACGACAATTTGCCTCAGTCGAAGGCCGCAAAATGGTGCGCACTATCCTGCGCAGTGCGCCAAAGGCCCCGGCAGACAGCCAGGGCGGGCAAGGAGGTCAAAACGTTCGCCTGGTGTGATGTGTTCGGCCGCGCGTGTGTCGGCATTTACCCGGCACGCGATCCTTCGATGCACAAACGACCCTGTGAACATCGCCTTCGCGGAGTGCGATTCCGGGGTGGTGGACCTCGGCGATGTCTGTGCCTGTCGGTGCAACGCGGCTGGCAGTCCACGCACGTCAGCAAGTATTGTGCCGTCAGTGTTGACCGAGGGGACACCATCTCGGAGGCTGTGGTGACTTTCGAGGAGTTGCCACGGCGGCCGAGCAGGGAGGACGCACCTTGGCGGCAAGGTCGTACTGCCCGTCGCTTCTCCCAGCCCGTGCCGATCTCGTTTGACAGGCACGTGCATTTCGATCGGCTTTCAAGCACCGACCAGGGCGCTGCGCCTCAGCCGTCGGGGGGACTCCTCGAGCTCCTGGTGGAGTCAGGGCCGTGCAGACTCAGTCAGTTGCTCCGGAGCCTGATGATTGGTCGAGCAACTTCACCGTCGCGGTCAAACGAGCCGCATCCGGTGCGTGTTCATTGTAGCCGCGGGGGCGGTGCATTCCTTCCCGCCGCAACGAGAAACCCTGCGATCCTGAGAGCCATACAGCGCGTTTGCCCCTCATTCTCCGTCTATCAAGAGACAACCCCTTGCACGCACACAATTGATCGTAAGCGCAGGTCTACGCGCCACTCATTTGCCTCCACCCCTTCGCGGGTGGCCGTCGAAGCGCTACGGAGGGAGCAGCCTGAGAGCTGAACAACCACCGCCCTGGCTCCGGCCTGTCTGCGCGTCCCTAGGGCCAGGCCTTACCCCCCGTGCGCACGGAGCACAGTGCATTCCACTGCTCGCTAGTATGTCGGGCACGCTGAGTGCTCCGTGCACCCGTGCGCTGCGAACGAGCTGCCGGTCCAAAGCCCTCACGCATCCGTCGCTGACCGACCCGACGGGGAGCCGTCGTGCGCCTCAACTCCTGCGCCGAGAAACGAGTACATGCCGCCATTCAGATCGCTGGCGGTACGCGTCACGATCGCATGGTGACCAGGCACAGCCCGAAGGGCAGGGTCGCGGCTCAACAGAGCCCCCTGAAAGTCGTGCTGGATCGGTGGGGGGCAGCTTGTTCTACGACCATGATCCATTCGAGTCTGCGCTGCAAGAGGAACGAGTGCGCGCGCCGCTGGACGGTCCAGGAGACGGTCCTTCTGCCCAGATGCAAGTGGACCGGGGCGAAGGTGCCGCTTTCGGTGGGTTCGACGTGGAACGCGCGATTCGGGAGCTGCGACAAGATCTTGAGGGTGCACAAGAAACGATCCACGAGCAGCAGCTGCTCATCGCAGATCTGCAGGCGCAGCTTCGCGTGCAGGGCAGACTGCACCCTCCGCCCGCTGCGGTACCTGTGTCACCGCCGTCCTCGTCGTCCAGCGAAGCGAGCCGGAATCTGACGCTGCATCCTGGAGGGCAGGTGAGCACCTACGAGGCTGCGCGGAGTGTGCAGCGCTTCACAGCGCTTGAGTTCATCTCCTCAGCACATCGCATCCCTTCGCGCACAGGATGACGGCCCGATCGCGGATACCGAGGATGGCAGCTGGGTGGATGAGTTCCATGTCCACGACTCACGCGGTGCCCTCATGGACACCATAGATCAGGAACTCGCTGAGGAAACAAGAGAACACGGAGCGAGTCAGCGTGACGCGGCGCCGCCGTGGGACGACCTTCAGGAGCGGCCTCAGGTCGACGTTTCGCGCGACTCTGGCGACGGCCCTCAAGTATCTCCGTTCGAGGCCCAGGCGATCGCTGCTTCCACGCCGCGCAGTCGGCGCATCGCCACGCCCCCTGAACTCGATGACAATGCCGGGGCAGGTTCCGGCAGTGCAGAAGGATCACCGTTGCTGCTGACGAGCTCTTGGCGGAGCAGGTCGCAGAGCCGAAACGCAGGACGGCCCGGAAGCAACATTCTTGAACAGCAGTCGAGGCTTGCGTACTTCGACCGCAGGCTGTCTGGCTCGTTTGACGCGCGCTTCCATTCGGCGTCGTGGGGCGCGACACCGAAGGATTTCCGCATCCTTCCCGCGCGGATCATCCTCGTCAGGCACTCACAGGTTCGCCCCATGCCGTTTCATCTCAGTTTCATCTTGCGGCGGCCTCGCGGGAAGTTGTTGTGCAGTTTTTGTAGGAATTCCGCCCACAACGATAGCCAGGTGGGGAATCCATCAGTTCACGCGTTGCCACGATGGCATCCGTCAACCAGAGGACCCATGCTCCTGATGCCCGCAGAGCGAGGGCAATGTAGACAACCAGGCGTATGCATCGGTGCCAGACTCGCGCATTCCCATCACAGAGCGCGGGCGCGAACAGGCTCGAGAGGCTGGGCGTGCCATCCGCGCGGAACTAGACGAACTGTTCCAAGGCAAAAACTACCAGGTGTTCTTCTACACTTCGCCGTACAAGCGCAGCCTGCAGACGTACCAAGGTATGAAGGATGCATTCGAGCCCGAGCAGCTTGTCGGTTGGCAGGAAGAGGTGCAGCTGCGGGAGCAGGACTTCGGCAACTTCCAGGTGTGCTGATGTCACCGTTTCTTCGCTTGAACGCACGAGAACGATCGGGTCTCCAATGCGTGCGTGAAGGGTAATCGACAGGCTGCCCAGCCTCAAGTCATGGGGGCTGCTGCGACGGTTTGTATTGGTGCAATGCTGCAGGACCCAGAGGGCAAGAAACGCGAAAAGTCAGAACGGCTGCGCTTCGGGCGTTTTTTCTACCGATTCCCCAACGGGGAGTCCGGTGCTGACGTGTACGACCGGGTGACCGCTTTCCAGAACGGCCTCATCCGCGACATCAACGCTGGACGTTTCGCGAACGACTGCAACTTGGTGCTGGTCACTCACGGTCTCGCGCTGCGCATTTTCCTGATGTCCTGGTTCCACTGGACAGTTGACCAATTCCTGCGCGTGTACAATCCTCCCAACGCGACGCCAATCGTGCTTGAGCGAAACTATTACGGCTGGGACTTGAGCCCTCAGGGCACTTCGTGGATCCATACAAAGGCGCTGTACTCGGCTAGCCGCGCAAGCCAGGGCCTCTTACGCGGGCTCACGGATGACATGTGCCACTGCAGCTACTCGATGCTGCCTTGTCCACCAAGTGACGAGAGTGAGGGACCACAGATGTGACAGCATTTCGCCTCGCGCTACACGCCCTGCCATGGTGTTGCACGATTGTGCACCACCAGCGATGCGATCTGCAGTGCTCACTCGATTCCCCCGAGGGGAACAGGGTTTGTCGCTGCGGTGAGCAGAGTCACGGCCGCATCTTCAGCGTCCTTCCTAGTGGCAGCCCCGACACGATCGACTTTTGGGCCGAACAATCGGCCCCGAACTTCCCTGAATCTCCGCAGCGCCCTCGCAAATTGAACTGTTGCACCACACTGTACAGCAAGGCCGACGACGTTCTCGGTGGAAAAACTCCTGCCACCATCGCCGCAAAGCGCCTGGCAGACTCTCAGGATCGCGTCCAGTGCGTCATCCGACTGCCCGGGGGGGGGTTGCGCCCCACCCTTCGTGGGATTCAACGCATCTCGCAATCCCGAAACGAGTAGTCCGAGTGCTCGAGCACCATGCGTGGTGTACTTGGGGCCCTGATCTCCGCCCCAAATTCCGAGAATCACCGATCCAGAAGCGCGTCTGAGCATCGATCGAATCGCTTCCATCCATGCAGCACTGTGTCCAGAAAACACTGCCTGGAACGGCATGTTCCCTGATGGTGGGCGTGTGTTGAACACCTGCACGCACAGGACTGCTTGCAGCGCTTCGCCTACAAAATCGCACACGCGCAAGACGCGGTGCCGCCACGTGCTGTTTCAAACCTACCTCCGCGCAGGCTTTGATGGATGACTGCAGGACCTCTCGAAGCGGCTTCAGCGCCGCTTTCGCCTGCGCATCTGGATCACCGCCAGCAGCCTCCCCGTCGCCTGTCCAGAAAGATGGCGCAGACATCGCGGGCAGCAGCAGAGTGTTTGCCTCCCTGACGACTCTTGCTTCCAACGCCAGCCAGCACCGCACGACAGGCGATGGCGTCATTTTGGCCGAGGCTGCATTCGCATTCAGACCTGTCACTGGCGGGGGCGATATCGGCGAGCACTCAATGTTGCCGGCAAGCTCAGCTGCCGTCGTGCCTGGAGCTGGTGCAGGCAGGCCCCGCAGCGCCAAGCGCTCAAGAAGCCTGCCGCAGGCAGCGCTTGCGTGACTCAGTGCTATGGCGTCCGACAGTAATGTGGCCGCGACATGGAGAGGAAGGCGAGGGTCCTCAATTGCGCGAAGCAGTGGCAGAGTCACGCATGCGCTCGTTAGGGCGTCGATCGTGCGAGCGCACATCGACGGTACCTCCACGCTGTCGATAGAGTAGAGGTACTCGGCAGCTTGCTCCGTGGCAGCGCGCATCGGCTTGCAAAAAGCTGGGGAGAAGTGTGTGAACGGTGCCTGATGCGGAGGAACCGCTGCCGTTTGCTCTTCTCCCTCCACATCGACGCTTGAAGTGTCTGGAGGTCGAGAAGGACGGAGCAAAAACAAGCGCGCACCGTGTTCGACGACATCAGCGAGGCCTGAGAATGTCACGATGGCCGACGTTTCCGACCTCCCGATGACGCGCGAGGCTTCGTCGTTGATGAAGCTGCAGGTCCGTTGCAGCACGAGGTCAAAGAAGAGCGGCTGGTGATCCTGAATGATGGACCCAAAAGTCGCAGCTCGCAGGCCGAT